TATGCTCACCAACCAATTGGCTCCTCTTTTACCCCATCTCTTTGCTTCCCAACATGGAGACTACTCTCTGGAATTGTGTGTTTAAAATTCCTGTATGTGTATGCATGCCTCTCTCTCTCTTATCTCACACACACTCTCTTTCTATCTAAAACCAAATACAGTTATCCTAAACAATGTATTCTTCAGTGTTGCTTGGTTTGGAGCTTTATAAAAATTGCATCATGTATGTATTCTTCTATTTTTCTTCATGCTTATGTTTCTAAGATTTATCCATATTGATTTGTTTAGCTGTAGTTCATTTATTTCCACTACTGTGCGAAATTCCATTGTGTGACTATACCATCGTGTGTTGATTTTGTATTTTTCAGCTATGCTGAATTTATTAATCCTAATGGTTTTAAAAAATGGAATCTTTAGAGTTTTCTACACATAAAGTTGTATCATCTATAAATAGAGATGATTTTACTTATTTCTTTCCAATTTGGATGCCTTTCATTTATTTTTCTTTCCTAACTGTTCTGGCTAGAACTTGCAGTACTGCATTGAGTGAAAGTAGCAAAACAGGCATCCTTGTCTTTTTCTTAATCATAAGGGAAAAACTTTCAGTCTTTCGCCATTCAGTATGATGTTGGCTGTGGGTTTTTCATAAGCAGTCTATTATGTTGTGATATTTTCCTTCTATTCCTAGTTTGCTGAGGATGTGCATTTTTTTTTCATCATGAAAGGGTGTTGAACTTTGTCAAATGTTATTTGCTGCATCAATTGAATTAATCATGCGTTTTTTTTCTTTACTGTGTTAATGTGTATTTCATGGATTGATTTTCCTATTTTAAGCCATCTCAGCGTTCCAGGAATAAATCCCACTTGATCATGGTGTATAATGCTTTTAATGTGCTCCTGAGCTTGATTTGCTTAGTATTCAGTATTTCGTTGAGGATTTTTGCATCAGTATTCACCAGGAATATTGGTTTGTAGTTTTCTTTTCTTATAGTGTCTTTGTCTGGCTTTGGTATCAGGGTAATGCTGGCCTCATAGAATGAGTTAGGAAGTTAGGCCTCATGGAATGAGTTCCCCTCCTTTTCAGTTTTCTGGAAGAGTTTGAGAAGTATTGGTGTTAATTTTTCTTTAAATATTTGGTAGAAAGCACCAGTAAATCTGTCTCATCCAGGGCTTTTCTTTGTTGGGAAGTTTTTGATTAACAATTCAATGTTTTTACTGGTTGTAGGTCTATAAAAATTTTTCATTTCTCCATGATTCAGTCTTGGTAGGTTGTGTGTACTCAGAATATTTGTCCATTTCATCTAGGTTATCCAATTTTGAGGCATACAGTTGTTCATAGTATTTTCTTATAATGCTTTTTATTTTAAAAAAATTGGTAGTCATGACCCTGATTTCATTTCTGATTTTAGTAATTTGAGTTTTTCCTTAGTCAGTCTAGCTAAAGATCTGTCAATTTTGTTAATCTCTTCAAAAGACCAACTTTTGGTCTCATAAATTTTCTCTATTTTTAAAATTCACTACAGATCTTTTCTCTAATATTTATTATTTCTGTTAGCTTTTGAGTTTAGTTTGTTCTTCTTTTTCAAATTCCTTATAGTGTAAAATTAGGTTGCTACTTTGAGATCTTTCTTCTTTTTTTAATGTTGGCATTTACAGCTATAAATTTCCCTTTTAGAACTGCTTTCACTGCACCATACAAGTTTTGATGTGTTATGTTTCATTTTCATTTGTCTCAAGGTATTATATTAGTTTGCTAGAATTGCCATCACAAAATGCCAGACTGTGTGACTTAAACAACAGAAGTTCATTTTCTCACTGTTCTTCAGGCTACAAGTCCACGGTCAAGGCGCTGGTATGGTTGGTTTCTTCTGAGTCCTGACTCCTCGGCATGCGATGGCCCCACTCTTCCGTCCTCTTCACATGGTCCTGTCTGTGCATGTGTGCTCCTGGTGTCTTTTTGTGTGTTTGAATTTCCTCTTCTTCTTTTTTTTTTTTTGAGATGGAGTCTCTCTCTGTCACCCAGGCTGGAGTGCAGTGGCACGATCTCAGCTCACTGCAACCTCCACCTCTTGAGTTCAAGCAGTTCCCCTGTCTCAGCCTCCCGAGTAGCTGGGATTACAGGCACCTGCCACCACACCTGGCTATCTTTTTATTTTTAGCAGAGACAGGGTTTCACCATGTTGGCCAGGCTGATCTTGAACTTCTGATCTCAAGATCCACCTGCCTTGGCCTCCCAAAATGCTGGGATTACAAGTGAGCCACCGTGCCTGACCAAATTTCGTCTTCTTATAAGGACACCAGTCAGATTGGGTTTAGATCCATCCTAATAGCTTCATTTTAACTTAATCATTTCCTTAAAGACCTAATCTGCAAACACATTCACACACTGTGAGGTACTAGGGGTTAGGGCTTCAACATATGAATTTCAAAGGTACACAGTTCAGCCCATAACAGGTGTCTTCTAATTCCTCCTTTGATGGATTGGTTAAGAGTATGTTGTTTAATTTCCACATTTTGGTGAATTTTCCAGTTTTCCTTCTGTTACTGATTTCCAGTTCATTCCTATTATGATTGGAAAAGATATTTTGTATTACTTCAAACTTTAAAAAATTATTAAAACTTATTTTGTGACCTATGGTCTATCCTGGAAAACGTTTCATGTGCACATTAGATAGAAGTGTATTCTGCTATTGTTGGGTGGAATATTTTTTTTTGTATATTTTGTATATGTCTGTTAGGTCCAATTGGTTTATAATGTTGTTCAAGTCTTCTGTTTCATTATTGATCTTCTGTCTGGCTATACTATCCATTATTAACAGTGGAGTATTGAAGTCTTCAACCATTATGGTAGAGCGATTTTTCCCTTCTGTTCTGTCAGTGTTTGCATCATATATTTTGGAGCGCTAATGTTTGGTGCATATTATTTGTAGTTGTAACTTTTTGGTGAATTGACTCTTTTATCATTATATTTTTCTTTGCCTCTTGTAACAGTTTTTGTCTTAAAGTCTATTTTGTCTTATATCAAGATAGCCACCCTAATTCTCTTTTGGTTACTACTTGCATTGAAATATCTTTTCTTATCCTTTCACTTTCAACCTATTTGTGTCTTTTGATCTACAGTAAATCTCTTGTAGACAGCATAGAATTGAACTCTGTGTATATGTTTTAAAATCCATTCTGCCACTCTTTGCCTTTGGATTGGACAGCTTAGTCCATTTACACTGGTTTTGTTTAGTTATTTATCAACGTTTTGCCAGCTGGCTTTGTGCTGGGTCAATTCTTCATAATTGGCTGGGTGTGCCTTGAGCCTAGAGACCAGCATGAGGTGAGTGCTTACAGTCTTCTCAGATGTTTTCTGAGCATGCATCTTGCTTGATCATGTTTGTGGTTTTTTTTCAATTCTTCAGTATACTTTTCAATATTTTAATTTCCCAAAGAGTCTCATTCAAACTTCTCCTCGGTGCCTTAAATGGACTGTGGTGTATCTTTGCCCACAATCTCTTTGCTGAGAAGTCTGTGAATCTGTACTCTCCCAGTTCTGTGACTCTATCTCCTGAATATGTGTGCATAGGGCCACCATGCAAAGCTGTGCTGAACTTTGCACTGTATTTTTTCTGTGTTATGTTACACTTAAAGGGCTGACCTTGCTCATACAGAATGATGCCAGACTCCCAGAGGCTCTGACTAGACATGGGTGAGGAGTCATAGTCTCCTTCCAAGTCTTCTGAAAAAATTGCCCATGAGAGCTGGCAGCTTCCCCACTCGTCTTCCTCATACCTGCCTTCTGTCCATGAGAAGCATGTTTGGCTGTGTTCTGTGTCGTTGCTTTTCGGGTGAACCTAGCTTTACCACTGCCTGCTAGTTTCCTTTTTCCTTCTGGAAAGGTAGCTTGGGTCAGTGAAGCTAGGATGAAAACAGGCCACAGACAAGAGTCCCTATCAGAGAGAGGGATAGAGAAAGAGAGGAGAAGAGAGAAGAGAGTACCTAGGGATACAGAAAGAGAAAGAGAGAAAGGAGGAGATAGGGATAGAGAAAGAGAAAGAGAGAAAGAAACAGGTGAAACCTTGCTAGTCAGCCTTCTGGGCAGAGGGGGCTACAGGAGGGCTGGGCTCTGCTGGCTTGCTGTGGCTCCCCATGACTGCTGCTCCATGCAGAGTACCTCTGTAGAGAGGGCACCATGCCTGGCACAGTCCTCAGGCTGGGCTATGTTGCCTCCTGGTGGGAGGGAAGGGTTGGGGGATGGCATCGGGTGCTTGACATATCTTGGCCCTGCCCTCAGCAGCTGGGAGCCTATCCTGAGTCCCATTTGCTCCTTTTAAAATGGGGATAGTATTATGTACCTTCAGGGTTATCATGATAACAAAGGTGACAGCTTCAGCAAGAGCCTAACACAGAATGTACTCACTTAAATGACCATTAATACTCATCAAATAAAATCCTGGTAATAATATGGTGGGGAAAAGGCCTTTTCTCTACAGGATACTTCAGAGATACTGTCAAGTAATCGGGACAAAGACAGTGAAGGGCCCAAATAGAAGGCCTAATCCCGCTTCTGCTGTCTGCAGCCTGTCTCTTGCCCTGGGAGATACTTCCCATGAGGGGCCCCTCCTGGCCACTGCTGCACAGGCTGTTACGGAGGAGGCCTCATTGCTCCGCTTGGTTTTCCTACAGCTGATCTCCAATGTTACCGACCACTGGGGTCCTTCCCGTTTCAGGCCTCCGGACCTGGGTGTTGAGGTACCACCAGCTGCCTTCCTGCCCTCTGACTTCTGCTTGATTTATTTTGGTCCCACTCCCAGTCTGGCCCTCTTTTGATTTCTCTTGATCCCACTCCCAGGCTGGTCCCACTCCCAGCAGCTCTTCTACAGGGCTCTGCATGGCTGATGCCATCTGCCATCTGCCACCTGCCCTCTCTCCTGAGCCCTTGGCTCTCGACTTTGCTGCCTGCTCTGTGGTCTTCCTGACTGGTGCCTGGGAAAGAGCCTGCCTATGACTTGAGCAGAGCATCCCTTGGAGAGTCTGTGGATGTGAATTTGGTCATGCACAGGTTAAGGCAGTGAAAGCATTTTGCATTCCTTGTTATTGGCTCTGCATCATCTTGTCAAGCAGAACTGACTTCAGCAATGGCTGCATAAATGGTGCCTATGTGGCACAGGTCCTAAAAAAGGCTGAGGGCAAACCTCTTCCTCCACCCCTGGTGCCCCAATCACCACCTCCCCGGACTGTCGTTTGCACTAACCATTGTCTTTTTTTTGGCCTTTAAAAATGTAAATTCTCTTGAAAGTGTTCATATATTAGGTATTCAATATTTTCAACATTTTTACCTCTTTTTTTGTCAATATGATGATATAAGCATTATAGGGCTGTTCAGTGTTTTGATTTAGAAAGAACTAAGGGGTCTAGGGATGAGGAAACTGTTGAAGAAGAGGGCAGAAGAGGCACAGGCGTGCGCAAGAAACTGTTTCCATCGCACAGTCTGGCATGAACCTGTCTTAATAATCGTGGTAGCAAGGATTCTTGGCGATGGTGGATCTGCCTCAGACGCATCAATTCTGGCTGCTTAAAACTTACTGTTCAAGGATTGTAAACATGGCTAATACCCAGGACTGGTGGAGATCGGGATTTGTTCCTGCCTGTAACTGAAACGTGGAGTAATGGGGATGGGCTCTCTTCCAGCGAGAGGACCATGGGCACCAGGAAACGTCTTGATCCGGTGACCTCACTTCTAGGAATCTATCCTCAGGAAAGAATTAAAGGCACACACAAAGACTTATCTATCAGGACTCACATAGTGTTTGCTATTTATCCAGGTAAAAAACCAGAAATCCCCTAAATTTCCGTCAACAGACAGATGGTCAGGCTTAATTTGATGATCCAAGTAATGGAATATGATGGCTGATATTAAAATCACGTTGTAGAAGAATAGCTAATATTTGATAAGCTGTGAAATGCTAATGAGATAGCTGAGCTGAACGATTAGAGGACAAAGCAATTTGCATATGTGAATATGTATATGTGTGAATGTGTGTCTTTGCACTCATATGTATGAATCTGACCTAAAAATATTCATTTATATGTAGGAAAAAAACATTGAAAGGAAATTCTCTAAATGTTAACATTGGATATCTCTGAATTATAGAATTATGTACAGGTGCAGTTGTTTTATGTGTTATCTTCTGTAATTTCCTTTAAAATAAGTATAAATGTATAGATACATACGGATTTTGTAAATGTATATACAGAGTTTGTTGAGACATGGGGGAAATCAGACAACGCGGAAATTAGTAAAACTAGACAGTGCCCAGTCTTAGAGTGAAGTCAGAAAAACGTCAATGCAATTTATCTTTTCGGAAGAGGAAAAGTCAGGAATAATATAGATCGCATCAATATTTTCTGCCTTATTGAAGTCAAAAGGAGAAAAAATTGGGCTTTCAGCTTTGTGGACTGCCATTTTTATTTTCAGCCTCTGGAAAATGTTTTTGGGCAATCCTGAATCTTCTCTACATGTGATCTGTGAGCTCTCTGGGTCACAGGCCAGGGATTCTATCAAGCAACAGGGCCCCAGGGCCTCCGTGGTGCTTCCCCTATTTGCAGAGAGGAATGGATTTGGAACATTGAAAATGGTATCTGGATGGTGGTAAGTTTAAATTGGAATGGCCCAAAGTCTCTTTAGGAAATTTCCTGGTGAAACTCATTTTACTTTTGGATTTTTAGAAATATAACTACATAAAAAAGCTCAGAAATGATTACCTATATGCTTAACTACAATTATAAAATACTCTGTGTACACGAAGTGCATAAATGTAAATGTTAAACAGTGACAAAAATCAGCCAGATATGGCCACCACAGAGAAGATAAAATGGACTTTGGATTTTTCCCCATTTCTAATTTTCCTTCTTAGTGGCAAGAAGGTAAATCCTCCACACTGTGCGACGTGCTGCTGCTGTGGGCTCTTTTGAGACCCTGTGGGTCATGCTTCACTGCACGATGTGCTGCTGCTGCGGGCTCTTTTGAGACCCCATGGGTCACGCTTTCCAAGGAACAATAGTGCCTCCACCCTCCTGAGCACTGTCCTCTCTTCAGAGGGTCAGTATTGAGTCTATAAACATTATTGATATAATGATTTAGGAGACTTGTTTAAAAAGCCAATCTCATGCAAATAAGCTATGATTGCTAGGTTTTAACCCGTTCATTATTAAGTATGTATGTGTTTTTGTGACAGGATCTTGGTCTATTGCCTAGGCTGGAGTGCAGTAGCACAATCCCAGCTCATTGCAGGTTTGACCTCTCAGGCTCAAGCAATCAACCCTTCACCAGCCTTCCCAGTAGCTGGGACTACAGGTGTGCACCAGCACACCTGGCTAGTTTTTGAATTTTTTTAAAGACAGGGTTTTGCCATGTTGCTCAGGCTTGTCGTGAACTCCTAGGCTCAGGCAATCCACCCGCCTTGACCTCCCAAAGTGCTGAGATTACATGTGTGAGCCACTGTGCCCAGCTTATTATTGAGTATTTATTAAGAACTTACTTTGACCTGGGTGCCACTTACAGTACCAAATAAAACAAGATGAAAACATGGCAGTCATTCTTAAAGAGCTCACAGTCTAGTGAACCTCAGTGAACCAATATCCACAATCTATCTTTATGTTTTCCATTTACATCTCCTTAGTTAATATAAGAAAACCAAGGGTTTTTGTTTCTTTTTTAAAGTGAGAGGGTCTCCTCCAGGCTGGAGTGCAGTGGCTCCATCATAGCTCACTGCACCGTTGAACTCCTGGGCTCAAGTGATTCTCCCGCCTCAGTCTTCCAAGAAGCTAGGACTACAAGTGTGCACCACTACGCCCAGATAATTTTTTATTATTTTTACTTTCCATAGAGATAGGATCTTGCTATGTTGCCCAGGCTGGTCTTGAACTCATGGCCTCAATCGATCCTCCCACCTTGCTGGGATTACAGGTTTGAACCACCATGCTTGGCCTTGTTTTCTTTTAATCTACATTGCATGACTGAGAAAATGGAAGCTCAGGGTTGTTAAATAATATGAGGAAGGTCACCATCTCCGTAACACTCAGCTCTCCTAGACCACCCCAGGGAGTATCAGAAAACATCTGGTTGTTTGGTCCACTCACTATGACATTTTCTAAATGTACCTAGGGGGTTACAGTTACAGATTTATAGTTATGGGAAACAGGGTTGGGAGGATCTCAACTGTAAGCCAGTTTGAGCAGCTAAAAGTATGCTAATTATTAAATCTCTTGGGCAGAGAGATTCTTCCAAATCTCTCTACCTTCATTTGTCAAAGTTAAAGCACCTACTTTATAATTCTCTCTCCTGCCATGCTGACCTCTACTGGCCATTAAGCCTCTGAGGTGAGTCCTCAGTCACCTGTGTTCTCCATGGGAAGTGGCCCAGTGCTGCCCAGAGATGATGCCCAGCGGATACTCACTGGCCCCAGACAGACTCCTTTTCTGACTTCCCAGAGACATGGTGCTGGTGTTAGACACAACTCAGGGGCCCATGTTTTACTCATCCACAGGAGTCTTATTGTCTATCTCACAGGTGAATGCTTGAATGAGAAAGAAGCAAAAATATTTTTCTTAAAATTTCTTCCATTGTGCATTTATGATCGGAAAGAATTACTGTTATTTGCCCGGGTAAATGTTTCATAGCATCTACAGCATCTCTGCCTGGCCTGGGATCCTGTAAGAAAGGCAATGTATCAGCATATAAAATGACATATTCTCAGTGATCAGGAACGAAAATTGTTCCTGCAACTTCTCATGGAAAGCTGGTTGTCTTTTAACATCAAGTGTCCTTTAATGAGGGTGACCATACATGCCGGTGGACTTAGTTGTGGCTGTGCAGTTACTTCCTGTTCAACAAGCTCCTGATTTGAATGATACATTTATGGTGGTCCTTCCATATGGCAGGCAGGCCAGTGTGGTGGAGGACCACCCTGCCCAGTGCGAACCTTTGCTTTGCTTCAGTTGTGGCTGCTGTCCTTGGAGAGCTTCCTCCTTGCCATTCTGGTTGTTGTCTCATTCCCACCCCTTGGTCCTGACTTCTGCTGATTGGTCTTCCAGTGGCAGCCATTAGTATATTTTAAAAGTGAATTTCTTGTTATTTTAGCAAATAGAATTTTCTGCCTACAAAAGGGCCAACGAGGCTCTGAATCTTTTTTTTTTTTTTTTGACAAGGAGTCTTGCTCTGTCGCCCAGGCTGGAGTGCAGTGGTGTGATCTCGGCTCACTGCAACCTCCGCCTCCTGGGTTCAAGCAATTCTCTGCCTCCGCCTCCAGAGTAGCTGGTATTACAGGTGCCCACCACTATACCTGGCTAATTTTTTTTTTTTTTGTATTTTTAGTAGAGGCGGGGTTTCACCACATTGGCCAGGCTGGTCTTGAACTCCTGACCTTGTGATTCACCCACCTCAGTTTCACAAAGTGCTGGGATTACAGGCGTGAGCCACTGTGTCCCGTCTTCTGAATGTTTTTCTTGAGGAGCAGCTCTGCATGAAATAGCAAAGGTGGCCTGAATCTCCTGCTAATGCAAAAGCGAGCCTAAAAGTGTCATCCCGTAGTATTTGGTCTCCTGTGCGAGTGTCTGCTGTGCATTTTCAACTGAGTTGGGGAGGAGAGGTATTTCTTATGTTGTCTTCTAAAACTTCAGCCTTTTACAATTCAGACAGACCCTTAGGCAAATTTCCTTGTAAGATTTATCACTGAATCTTGGGCACATTCTTGAATCTAGCGCCCAAGTGCTGGGAACACATTCGTTATTTCTGTGTTGGTGATTCTGTTTCCTTCCTTGTCTCTTTCAGGTCTCACTCTCCTTTGCCCCAGATGTCCAGCTCCAGGTCTAAAGATTCCTGCTTTACAGAAAACACTCCTTTGCTGAGGAATTCCTTACAAGAGAAAGGGTGAGATATTTCCCCCGTCATGTGAAAGTAAGAGTTTCCGAGCATTGCACTTGGCACGTATGCTGGAGAAATTCTTGAGATATGAATTTTTACTGGACATGTTTAACCTCTGCCAGATCCTTGACAATTTGTTGTAGTAGATGTTCATGATTCGGGTGGTTATATTCTGTGGCTATTAATTTCCAGATGGCCTTGAGCATAACCCTGCAGCAATTGCACAGCACACACACACACTCACGCATGCACAAAGCTCTGACGCATTGTCTTACCAGGCTGGGGTTTGTCAGCTAGGGGTGAGGTCGGCATTGTCTGGAGACATTTTTGGTTGTCACACTGAGGGCTGAGATGCTTCTGGCATTTAAGGGTAGAGGCCAGGGATGCTGCCAAACATTCTGCAATGCACAGGACAGCCCCCACCACAAAGAACTATCCAGCACAAATGTCAGTAGTGACGAAGTTGAGAAATCCTGTATATGTGTTTCACAAGAAAACCTAATTTCCTGCAAACTTACAGGTCCTTTTTGGACACAAATCAGGGTGGTTCTGGAATTGCCTGAGCAGAGCTGACCTGGAGGGTAAGTTACAGATGCTTCCTTCTGGGATGAAGGGCCTTGGGCCAGGCCTGCATCTTCTTTTCTTTCTGCAAACAAACTGCCAGAAGCCTGAGCCACCTGCTCCATGTTTCCGGGCTCCTTGCACATCACAAACTTGGTGACATTGTCACTGTCAATCTGAGATAATAAAAACTATCAGAACCCAGTTTAAAATTATTTATTCAAGCACAAAGCTGAGGATAGCCATTTGGGAAACATAGGATCCAAAAGAATGGGATCAGTGCTCCAAAACTGAAAAGTTAAGGTCTTATTCACATCCATATAGGCAGAAAACAAAGAAATGGAGAAGGACTACGTTTCCCATACATGGCTGGTTTATGAGTTACAGCAATTTGATTAGTTACAGCTTTGCTCCCCCTCCAATTTCAAAGAGTATATTTGACGTTCCATGTTAGACAATGGGATAGTCATGAGGTCTTTGTGTGAGAGAAGAAAGAAGGAAGTTAATCTATTAATGAAGATCAACAGTGAAGAGGGAAGGGGTCTTCTCTGATGCCCATTCGTCTTTTACAAGACTTTACAAAACAATGTAGGTAAGGAAAAAGGCAAACCTAGAATCAGAGAAAAGAAGGCCACAGCTTGCACTTTCTTGTATGGCACTAAGTCCGTTCCGCTTCTCTCAGCCTCCTGAGTAGCTGACTACAGGCCCCACCGGCTATTTTTGTATTTTTAGTAGAACGGGTCACTGTGTCTCGATCCTATGTGATCCGCCCGCTCGGCCTCCAAGTGCTGGATACAGCTTGAGCACCGCGCCCCCCACATTCTTATGACTCATCCCATAATCACATTCTTTTAAGACTCAAAATAATTAAAAGTTTCAACAGCTTTGATTGTGAATCACCTATTTGCACATCAGGGATTCTCCTTTCCCTGCCCACTGCTGGTGTGTACCTGCATCGACAGGCGCCCACTGCTGGTGTGTACCTGCATCGACAGGCGCCCACTGCTGGTGTGTACCTGCATCGACAGGCGCCCACTGCTGGTGTGTACCTGCATCGACAGGCGCCCACTGCTGGTGTGTACCTGCATCGACAGGCGCCCACTGCTGGTGTGTACCGCATCGACAGGCGCCCACTGCTGGTGTGTACCTGCATCGACAGGCGCCCACTGCTGGTGTGTACCTGCATCGACAGGCGCCCACTGCTGGTGTGTACCTGCATCGACAGGCGCCCACTGCTGGTGTGTACCTGCATCGACAGGCAGGCTGTTGTGTCTCCTTCACTCACTTCTGAGGTTCCAAGGAGCTGCCTCCTCTCTCCCCAGCCCAGTCTGCAGCCAGGGCAGGGGGCCAGGCTTCACACTTTAGGTGGGGCTTGCACGCCATGTGCATTCCTGTCCTCAGCCTCCAAATACTCCTGCTCACAGGATTTGGATGGGATGCAGGCATCTGGATTTATTACTTCTCAGTGCAGGGATGATTTGTTCACAGGAAGCCCTTGACTAGAGGAAACTCCTTCCGTCTCTGTCTCTCCAGGGCAGTCAGTCCTACTCCTGTCAAGGGCATTCAGATGTCACTGCCTTTGAGAGCTCTTGGTTGTTTCTGCCGCACCCACCAAGAGTCAGTGCTTCTCCTGTGCTCTCAAACACTGCATTCATGCCCTTACTTCCAGACTGGCCTGTGTGCTATCTGTGGTTATGTCAGCCAGCCTGTGCCCTCTTCATCATGCATCCTGGCACCTAGCACAGTCCCTGCCACCAGCCCCTCAGTGACTGGATGGGTAAGGAGTGTAAGCTGAGGCATTTCCACTGACCCAGCTGCTTCAAGCGTCTGTACTGGGGGATAACTTAATTATGCTCCGTTGCTCCTAATTAATAACTTAAGACAAAGACTTCACACACCTATTCCCTTAATGCTTTCTGTTGAATTACTTGGTAAATTGTGAAGGCCTGCAACATTTTAGAATTTGCAGTTCATTGGAAAACCATTAATGCGTAAACATTTTTCCTGGCATGCGGAGCACGAGCTGGGCCTCATGTCACAAAAACCATTTCAAGGGAGTAGAACATGGGTCAGCTTTGCTTACAAAATGTATTCCTTTTCTCTTTTTGCATGAAGCTAATTAAGGTATTGGTGGTACGAATGTCTTTTTCATACTTTACTTTTATCAACTTTATTTTGTTTCGGTTTTAATCTGATCAAACGGCTTATTAGGATAATATCCATTGATTTACATATTTTCAGAAGTATTCTTTTAAGGGTGTTGAGAGCAGGAATATGTGGTACAAAGGTCAGAGCATGCCCTGTATCTGCACTGACAACTCTTCACAGATGGTTATTTAAATTTAAATTAATTAACATTAAACATTCACTTCTTCAGTTGCACTAGCCACACTTCAAGTGACCAATAGCACATGTGGCTGCCATACTGGACAGGGATTCGAACATTTGTATCACCACAGAAAGTTCTATTCCACAGCACTGCTCTAGAAGGCAATGACATTAACTTGCTTTCCTCTTTCTTCTTAGAAGAAAAGTTTTTTTTGGTTCCAATTTTGTTTTTTTCAGCAGTTGGTGTGATATTATTTCTCACACACCTGAGCATTTTCCAATCACAAAATTGATCGGATTATCGACTATTTTCAAAGTCGTGTGTTATCTTGTTACACATTGGTTATACACAGCCTGGGCTTCTTCTTCTGAATATTTTTCCTTGTGAACCACTTTTAAAGCAGTCGTAAGTGTTCAGGAGTATCACAATGCCCCATTGAGCTGGCTCTATTCCAGTCTATCACAGATCACATCTGTTAACGTCAGTATTGTGATCCCAAGAATATTCTATGTGATACATGAAAATTCTGGCTTTTGGTACAACCTTTTAAGAGTCAAGTGCATCTAAACTGAAGGAATCGATCAGAAGGTCAGGGATTCAACCAAAAGTAAATGGAGGCTCTGTACAGTGGCTCATGACTATACATCCCAGCACTTTGGGAGGCCAAGGCAGTCAGATCAGTTGAGGTCAGGAGTTTGAGACTAGCCTGGCCAACATGATGAAACCCCATCTATACTAAAAATACAAAAATTAGCCAGGTGTGGTGGCGTGTGCCTGTAATCCTAGCTACTGGGGAGGCTGAAGCAGGAGAATCGCTTGAACCTGGGAGGCAGAGGTTGCAGTGAGCTGAAATTGTACCACTGCACTCCAGCCTGGGTGACAGAGCAAGACTCTGTCTCAAGAAAAACAAAACAACAACAAAAATTCCAAAAGTAAATGGATGTGTTTTCAAGTAATTCTGAGAAAAGTTTATGATTCCCATTGAGTCATCTAGATATAGGCCCCATTCTTGGCCTGTCTAGTTAGATACTAATGTTCCCTCTTCCTGCTCGTGCTTCTGTGGATGTTGTGTGGGAAGCCAGGTAGGCCACCTTCCCTACAGCTCCACTGCAGAAAGAGATCTACACAGAGGAGGAAAAACTGACACCCCTCACCCTGGACAAGTCTCACACGTCTAGGTATTGACTACTGCAGTGCGTGCAGTGAAAAAGCAAACGCTGAAATCAGTGGGAACTGGTCTCAGCCAGAAACAGCTTTCTCGGAAAGTCCCAAACTCAGAAAAAGCTGGTTTCTTGAAGGCCCACAATTCATTTTGAAGACTTTAGTGACTCCAGGAAATTTCCTTTGACCTAAGTGTTCTGTGAGGTCACAAAAAAACCATTCCCACCAGTATGTGAGCGGGCCACTGTCTGTGGTCCTTTGAAAGACCAGGGTTGATTCGGCGCCATTTCACACAGTCAGGACTCAGAGGAAAGCTTCCTTTGCAGCCATTACTATTTCAGGAGAAATAACCACACCTCTCTTGCTTTCCAGGTCACGGTGCATACCTGTTTACCATCCAGAGTTCATCACTGCTGACGAATCTTGGGAAGACGGCTCTGCTGATTGGGAGCGAAGGTACCTGCTGAGCAGGGAGGTGTCTGGTCTGTCTGCCTCTGCCTCCTCGGAGAAGGGGGACCTTCTGGACAGCCCGCACGTCCGGCTCCGTCTTTCCAAGCTGAGGTAGGCAGACGTGGGGTGCCCACCCTGGCAGCAGCGGCGGCCGCACATCGCGTCCTGCGTGCCCCCTCCGTCTTTCAAACCAGCAGGGTGAAGAAGAGGATGAGTTTTGTCCATCTGGCCAGGCTGTACTTTTCCTTCAAGGTGACTTATTTTCACCCGGGCCTAGGGAGACATTTAAGGCGGCCTGCAAATCATGCAGCGCCTGAGAGGACAACCCTAAATGATTGACACAGTACACCCTTCTCCTTCCTGCTCGTGGGGTTGGGGTCTTCACGGCCTTTAGGTTTGCAAATAGGATCTGTTTGCTTCAGGGGTCCCATGGCGTTTTGGAAGTTGATACACCTTTGCAGTTACTGAGGAAGGAGTGGGTCTGGCTCAGCGCACAGCCTGAGGGGTGCGGTTCCCTCCTGTGCTGTGGGCCCCAGAAACCCTTTTAAGGCTGGAAACATTTTAGAACTTACGATCCGTTGGAAAACCATTAATGTGTAAGCCTTTGTCTTGGGTACACGGAGCACAGAACCATGCTGGGGGAAGCGGAGCTGCAGCGAGAAAGTGGACGGTGCGCATGCGTATGGGAGGAATGGGGGGCGGGGATGCGCATGCGCAGGGCGACGGCGGGCGCGGGAATGGGGTACGCGTGCGGGTGCAGGCCTGGGGCGCGCATGCGCGGGAGGCCCAGGGTGCGCGCGGGCCGGAGCGCTCTCACGTTGCCGGCTTGTTTATCTGCTGGGTTTCCTCCCATGCGCCAGTTCATTTGAAAGGGTTCTTTTGAGAGGGACATGTTTGAAAACAGCATTTCCGGGACAGAACGAGGTTTGGGAGCCAGGACCTGTGGGCTTTCATTCTGGACCCGCCCTGACGTCGCTGAGCGCCCGTGGCAGGGCCTGGCCTGGCCGCGCAAGTGTGCCCTGTCGCGCTTGCACTCCTGGCTCTGTGGCATCTCGCGGGCCTTCACTAAGATAGTAAGTGCGAAAGCCCTAGATAAGTGAAAAAACACTACTCAGTCGTCAGATGTTAGCGTCTGTGCATGGGGACCCGTCTTCTCTGAAGATGCTCGCGGTTGGTTGGAAGTGTGCCCGCCTGCACGCTCCAAGTGCACCTCCCGGGGTGCGGAGAGGCCCGCCTCAGACTCCCCGCGGTACGTGGGGGAGCCGCTGTCCTATGCATCTTCCCAGCAATCCTGGGAGGTTCACGGGGGGTGCCTCGAGGACGGTAAGGCTTTTGCCCAAGGCCACACTGAGCCAAGCCAAGGGGCAGGGATTCGATCCCAGATCCCTCGCTCCGCTGCTTGACATGGAGCTGTCTCTTCCCACTGTGACTCCCACCCGCATGTAGCTGCTTCCTGATGAGACGGGGGTCTCAGCCCCCCCGTGGGTGCAGTATACATTTGGCCGGTGAATCCGCTATGAGATTATGTGAGTTGGGTGAAATTGTGTGAGTGCAGTTCTGGCGCCGTGGGTCAACAAGATGGCAAACCCTGACACTGTTCAGCCTTTTCCCAGCTGAATGGTGACCACTCCCACTCCCGAGGAGGCCGTGTCCTCAGCTGTCCCACAACGAGGAAAAATAGAATCAAGTACATTTGAGACTTCTGCATTCAGTGCTTGTTTTATCTTCTCTGATTCATGGAGTATTTGCCTTTGAGCTTGCCACTGAGCTAAAAGACGTTAGCGCCATTCTTTATAACATGTCTAAAAAGTACCATGCGTGATCAGTGAAGAATCTTGTAAAAAACCTTTTATTTTGGGTTGTCAGCTCTGCTGCAGATGTCAGTTATGTAGAAAGAAATTTGTATTTAGAATAGCTCAATTAATGCTTCATGCTTTAAAAAGAAATGTCATTTTGATTCCTATTTAAGTAGGAGCTGTTGAATCATAATTGGGAAGCGTGAACTGATTATTCATCAAATTCATTAAATCTAAGAGAATGCAAAACAAGATTTTACCATTTTCAAAGGATCAGAAAGAAGGTTTTCAAAGACAGATGAAACTTAACTGAGGAGAGTATTAAAAAGATGTTCCAACATGGAGTTTCTTAACTTCATTCTACACACATACATCAAGCATGGGCTATGTACCAGCATCCTTCCCTGTGTGGGGACGAAGCAGAAACGCTCTAGTGCCTGCCCTCACGGAACAGCTGGTGGGAGAGCACAACCTGACTGGGCGGTGATGGTGCCGTTGGGCGATGGGGTCTGGCTGCTGAGTGAACAGAGATGGGCATGACGGGAGGACTGCAGTCAGGGAGCATCCTGGCAGGGCAAAGGCCCTGTGGTCCTGTCTGGGTGCAGCAAGGACGTTGGTGGAACAGAAGGGCAGCAGAGTGCAGGCCAGGCTCTGGTTCATGTAGGGCCTGGGGGTCATGGTTAAGAAATGGGTAATGCTGAGGGGGCCGGAATGGCTTTAGAGGTTCTTGGTAGGGGCCGAGTGTGTGGCTTGATGGTTAATTAAGTTACTGCCTAAGGAATTCTTAAGAGACTCTGCTGGTACAACCAGTAACAGCATAACAATTTCTTTCTTAAGTTATTAGTTTTTGTATTTGATGATCAATCTGTATTCCTACCTTTCAGAAAACTTAGGGGAAAATAATTGATAAATATGAATCAGAAGGACAAGGTAAGGCGTTCAGTGTACTTTTTTCCAGGAAATGGGAGGCTTTAAACTGCTATCAAAGAGTCTCAAATCTTGAACTTTAGTTTCCCGAACAACAAGCTATGTGCAAACACTTTGGTGAACTTTGTTCTCCTCTGGAACCTCCACCATGTTCCTTTGGATGGGGCTGTAGGTTCACTGGTCACTGATATGAGGGTGTTCTCTCTCATATCACGTTTGGAAAGAATTCAAAACACACGCTGTGAGATGGAAGTTACTCAAGGCTGCAGAAAGGTGTCTGAGTCTGGGCAACAGGACTACTGCCCTTGCCACTAAGGTCCTACCTTTTCTCTTGCAGGCGCTGTGTGCAGTGGCTGAAAGTCACGGGCCTGTTTGTCTTTGTGGTGCTGTGCTCTGTGAGTACCGTGGCTGCCCCAGCACTGCTGTTGGGTCCGTGGAAGCCCTGTGTGCCTTTGGCTGTATAGCAGGGGGAACCTGAGATGTGGGGCTTAGTGCCTGGCCCTCTTCACCTGATTATCTGACTTTCTTTGGAGGAGATGCGAGGGTTGTGGGGCAGCGGGCTGAGGGGGTCGAGGGCCGCAGCTGTGCCCTCTGCTGTGGTCCCAGTCACACAGCAGAAGCCGGGCAGCATGGTGTTGCCATGTGGAAGGCCGGGTAGCTGGCTGTGGGGCTCGCTTCCCTCCTCGAGTGGTTTCCTACTTCCCTGTTCAGCCCCGGACAGTAGCACTGTTCGTGTGTGTTGGGACACATCTGGAGATCGTGGATAGCCCAGAGTGTCTCAGTGCTCCTTTGAGATTGTGCGCTGGGCCTCTGTCCGGCGGTGTGTGTTGAAGCTCTGAAGTTTGCCCCCTCTGGGGAGGTGTCTCTGATTTTATTTGCCCCGACATCTCCATCCTTTCAAATACATGAATATTCACAACAGACACATTCTGGAGCCAAACCAACATCAGATGCCCTCGTAGGGAACAGGGTGTGGGAACGAGGGGAGGGCGAGGGCTGCTTTGGTGAGCCCATGGCAGTGGGTGGTGCTGTTCTTCACTGGAGGGGTCCCAGCAGATGGACCCATCAGGGGAAAGGCACAGGAGCCCGAGCAGGGGGCCAGGGCCGCAGGGACACCTCTGTGCCCTCTGAGGTGACAGCCATGAGTCCCACTGCCAGCCTTGGTGTGCTCTGTGGCCTGGTGTAGCCTGAGTCAGGGTCACATAGTGGCACTCAAAATACATTTGCCCAATGAGTGGGTGTGTGGCCCCTGTCTCTGGTTGCATGTCTGTGTGTGTGCAGGTGGGTGTGTGGTCCTGTCTCTGGTTGTGTGTCTGTGTGTGTGCGGTGTTTGTGTTCCTGTCTCTGGTTGTGTGTGTGTGTGTGCAGGTGGGTGTGTGGTCCCTGTCTCTGGTTGGTGTGTGTGTGTGTGTGTGCAGGTGGGTGTGTGGTCCCCTGTCTCTGGTTGTGTGTCTGTGTTTGTGCAGGTGGGTGTGTGGTCCTGTCTCTGGTTGTGTGTCTGTGTGTGTGCAGGTGGGTGTGTGGTCTCCTGTCTCTGGTTGTGTGTGTGTGTGTGTGCAGGTGGGTGTGTGGTCCCCTGTCTCTGGTTGTGTGTGTGTGTGTGTGTGTGCAGGTGGGTATGTGGTCCCTGTCTCTGGTTGTGTGTCTGTGTGTGTGCAGGTGGGTGTGTGGTCCCGTCTCTGGTTGTGTGTGTGTGCAGGTGGGTGTGTGGTCCCTGTCTCTGGTTGTGGTGTGTGTGTGTGTGTGCAGGTGGGTGTGTGGTCCCTGTCTCTGGTTGTGTGTCTGTGTGTGTGCAGGTGGGTGTGTGGTCCTGTCTCTGGTTGTGTGTCTGTGTGTGTGCAGGTGTGTGTGGTCCGCTGTCTCGGTTGCGGTCTGTGTGTGTGCAGGTGGGTGTGTGGTCCGCTGTCTCTGGTTGCATGTCTGTGTGTGTGCAGGTGGGTGTGTGGTCCTGTCTCTGGTGTGTGTCTGTGTGTGTGCAGGTGGGTTTGTAGTCTCCTGTCTCTGGTTGTGTGTGTGTGTGTGTGCAGGTGGGTGTGGGGTCCCCTGTCTCTGGTTGTGTGTGTGTGTGTGTGTGCAGGTGGGTATGTGGTCCCCTGTCTCTGGTTGTGTGTCTGTGTGTGTGCAGGTGGGTGTGTGGTCTCCTGTCTCTGGTTGTGTGTGTGTGTGCAGGTGGGTGTGTGGTCCCCTGTCTCTGGTTGTGTGTGTGTGTGTGTGTGTGCAGGTGGGTGTGTGGTCCCCTGTCTCTGGTTGTGTGTCTGTGTGTGTGCAGGTGGGTGTGTGGTCCTGTCTCTGGTTGTGTGTCTGTGTGTGTGCAGGTGGGTGTGTGGTCCGCTGTCTCTGGTTGCGTGTCTGTGTGTGTGCAGGTGGGTGTGTGGTCCGCTGTCTCTGGTTGCATGTCTGTGTGTGTGCAGGTGGGTGTGTGGTCCTGTCTCTGGTTGTGTGTCTGTGTGTGTGCAGGTGGGTTTGTAGTCTCCTGTCTCTGGTTGTGTGTGTGTGTGCAGGTGGGTGTGTGGTCCCCTGTCTCTGGTTGTGTGTGTGTGTGTGTGTGCAGGTGGGTGTGTGGTCCCCTGTCTCTGGTTGTGTGTCTGTGTGTGTGCAGGTGGGTGTGTGGTCCTGTCTCTGGTTGTGTGTCTGTGTGTGTGCAGGTGGGTTTGTAGTCTCCTGTCTCTGGTTGCATGTCTGTGTGTGTGCAGGTGGGTGTGTGGTCCCCTGTCTCTGGTTGTGTGTGTGTGTGTGTGTGCAGGTGGGTGTGTGGTCCCCTGTCTCTGGTTGTGTGTGTGTGTGTGTGTGCAGGTGGGTGTGTGGTCCCCTGTCTCTGGTTGTGTGTCTGTGTGAGTGCAGGTGGGTGTGTGGTCCCATCTCTGGTTGTGTGAGTGCGTGTGGGTGAGTGGTCCCCTGTCTCTGGTTGTGTGTCTGTGTGTGTACAGGTGGGTGTGTGGTCTACTGTCTGGTTGTGTGTCTGTGTGTGTCCAGGTGGGTATGTGGCCCCTGTCTCTGGTTGTGTGTCTGTGTGAGTGCAGGTGGGTGTGTGGTCCGCTGTCTCTCGTTGTGTGTCTGTGTGTGTGCAGGTGGGTGTGTGGTCTCCTGTCTGTGACTGTGTGTCATGTCTGCGTGTGGTTGTGTGATGCCTGTGCCTGCTCTGTGTTTGTGTGTGTGCACCAGTGTGAGCTGTGTAGGTTGTGTGTGGTCCCCTGTGCCTGCTGCGTGTCTCTGTGTGTGCACCTGTGTGAGCTGTGTAGGTTGTGGTCTGTGACCATGATAGGTTGTGCTTGTGCTTTGTGGAGTTGTTTTGGGTGAGTGTCACTTTTGAGTGTTGCTCTAAGATGGTGTGCATGGGCAGTTGTTGGGAGACCACAGTGGGTGGTAGGTGCTGCTGTGATGGGGGTGTGACTGTGGTGGTGGGCAAGGGTGGGTCTGAGCTGTGTTCCATGATGTGCTCTCCCATGCAGCCTGCCCTGGTGACAGGGCCCCCTGTGCATGATGTGTGTGGCTGTTGCTGGCTGTTTCATGACCTGCACGCGTGACATGTGTGTTGTGGCTCTGTGTGCGTGCAGGAATGTCTGTGGCCCTGGGTCAGCTCTCAGCTGCGACATGAGGACAGCAGGGTGGTGTATGAAGTCAGTGCTGATTGCGTTGAGCTGAGTACAGTCAACTTCTTAATAACCAACCCGTGAGGGAGGAGATCTGTGACCCGGAGAAAGGAAACCTGTGCTAGAAAAGGAAAACCAATTACACTGAGCTCTGAAAGCTTCACGATTTGATATTTTTGGCTACCAATTTGCCTTGCCACTTCCTACTCACATGAATGTGTGGTTCTGAAGCCCCACTGCTCAGCAGGGCCTGGCAGGTGCTCTAAGATTTCAAAGGAACCAGGCTGGGTGGGCCAGGTCTCCCCTAGTCCCTAAGAGCTGACCTGAGCTGTGTCCAGTCTTAGCCTTCTTCTGTGAGATGGACTTTAGGTGATTTGTGGATATATCCAAAATGGAATTTGAGGAATGATTTGAATTTCTATAATCTCATGTTATCATCAGTTTAATTTACTTTTTGATGGTGTATAAGGTGCTTTGCAAATTTCACAAACACCTACTACCACAAACACATGCTCTAACCATTAGAGGGGTCATATTCCTTTATTCTCCAATGTGAGAAAACCACATTTGTACCTCTTTGATGATTTAATTTTATGGCCAGGCATTTAATCCTTAAAATTGGCAGTTATCAATAATCAGAGCCCATTGTAGCTGAACGCTGTAATGAATCAGAATAATGAATCAGAATATTTTAATATTTAAGACAAAGCTATTCTGAGTAAGCTGCTTCGTTCTGGATACACACAGTAGCCCCATCATCACATCCGTTTTCGACTGTTTTCAGAATGATTTCTACCTTACTGCTCTCATACCACACCTCCGTCATTCAACGTTTCTGATTCTTACAGATTTTGTTCAGCCTGTATCCGGATCAAGGAAAGCTCTGGCAGCTGTTGGCCTTGTCGCCGCTGGAGAACTACTGTATCCAAAATCCACTCTGAGATGGCCGGCCGCCTGGCTGAGATCTGAAACGCAAGGAGACACTCACGGACGGTTGTGACTGCTGCTGAAGGCCACGGCACAGGCCATTACCATTCCCACCCACCTGAATGTTGTTTCTCCAGATGTTTGATGAGAGATGGGGTCTCAGGACTGAGGGGCGGGGAGCTCCAGGGAGACAGTGGCGGGGTTGGTGGTGGAGCTCTCCGAGCGAGGAAGGGGGAGAGCAGGGCACATTCCAGCCAGGACCTGGCTTTCCCTAGCTCCCGGATACTCCTTTCCCCCCCATCTCTTGTGCGTTCAGCGTGACCCATCTTCCAGTTCATGCCATCCTGGCTGTGTCACCCGGCTCTGGTGACTGCCGCAGCACCTCCTGCTGTGCTTGCTCTGGCCGTCTTGCATGCCTCAGAATTTTTCATCAGAAGTCATACACATCCTGTAGGATAGTAGACACAGAGGCCAGTGGTGTTTAAGCTTGGAGATGAGCATGCCTTGACTTCTGCAGGCATTAGTTGGAGGGTTCATGTAAATCTAGCAAGAATTCGGCTGTGTTGAGGTTTGCGGTTGCTGTGGCAACCTCCGGTGCCCTGGACACTCAGAATTGCCGGGCGCCCTGCCAGCTGTCTGATAGACCTTGCTCTATGCCCACCCCTGCCACTGGGGTAAGAGCTACTTTTTTCCCCTCCTGCCTTCTCGTAGCTGCAGGAATTCCCACTGCACCCTCCGGCTGCCAGATCTGATGCACTTCCCGAGCAAATGAGGGCCTTTGCTCCTTAGGGGAGATAGAGGCAGCGGGAGAGGGTGAAGCTTGGCATCACCGGGGGATGCTTTCCCGGGATCTTCCCCGGGCTTCCTGTCTTCCTGGGGAGCGTCCGCTGGGGTTCCTGGAGGAAGAGCCTGCGAGAAGATGTGAACACCTCCATCTGTGGCTCTCAGTGGCTGCCACGCTCATGTGAGCCTACACTCGACCCTGAGCAATGTGTACATTTTCCGGTTGAATCCTGCCTGATTCCGAAGTGTGGGGCTGGCTCCTGTCCCAGGGAAGCCACCTCTCCCTACAGTCACCTGTTTTCCTCTAGATTTCAGGCGAGTTGTTTCTGCTGCAGCCTCCTTCTGGGATCAGGAGTGGGCGGTTAACTGATGTCCGCCCAGCCTTTTCTGGGTGAAAGGGTGGGAGCGCTGTTTCCCAGCTCTCCCGCGGGGGTCCAGAGCCTCTTTTGGAATGAACGTGGTCAGTAAGGTGTCTGTGCATGAAGGTCCCTGAAGACCGCGGTGCTGCTAGGGTGGCGGGCTTCCGGGGAGGGTCCTGGAGAGGTGGGACCCTCCGATGGGGTGCTCTGATCAGGCCAAATATTTTTGATGATGATTATTTAAAAAAAGGAATTAATTTAGTTAGCTAAATGGCAAGATGTTTTTTTCTTTAGCCTACTTACCTGATAGCCTCAGTGAACTGAAATTTTAGGAAACTGGCTTGCTTTCCTTGCAGTTGCTGTCATCGGTTGCGTAGCCTTGGTTTCTGTCATCCTTCTGGCAGTCTCACTGCATCTTCCCAGGGCACCCTCTCCTCAGCCAGCGACCTGCCCAGCAGCCTTCCAGAAAGGCCTGGCGCTGGAGGCTTTCTGGTGGGTGGGGGGGCACTGGTCATGGTTTGTGCTTCCCTCTGCTCCGTGGACAGAGGCACCCACAGTTTTAGAAGCTCCCACTTCCATTGGGGTCAGGGCGGTGCTGATGTCAGCTGAGCGCGTGTGCATGTGTTTGTATTTTCTTCATCACTTTAAAACTGTGCCTGAGCCTTAAAGTATCTCCGTGTGAGAGAACCAACGAGCTGTGTGATGCTGACAGACTTTGTTTCTCATTCTTGGGCCTCGACCTCTGCATCGCTTCCCCAGGATGAAGAAAGGCAAGACGTGCCCCGTGTTCCTGGACCCTTCATGAAGTTCCCAGGACACGCCGCCCTCCTGGGCACGACTTCCCGCAGGGGGCAGGGGAGATAGAGCAGCCAGCTGCCAGGCTGACCCAAGAACCTGAAGGGGGAGGCGGGATCCTGTCCGGAAACCGTCCTCAGTGGGACTCAGGCAGGAGGGGGAGATTTCGGGGGACACTGGCACTGAACCTGATCAGTCAGTGGAGATCACAAGGCCAGCACGACAGCTTAGGGCACCAAGATGGGACGATAGCCTCAGCCCTCTGTTCATCCCACCCGGGACCCAGGGTGCCCCCTTTATTCTAAGGCATTTTGCCGAGTTCCTTCTCAAGCAGCCTGAGTGCCCCAGGCCCATGCGGGACCCTGCGGCCTGAGTGCATCCCCGCAGGGGACAGGCCAGCTTGCCTTTCTTGGCAGGGGTGGGGATGGGTGGGGGCAGGGAGTTCTCGCCTGCTCCCTGCGTGGCCTTGGAATTTGGACGAAGAGGGAGAGAGCCTGGGAGAGCTGAAGGCCGCAGGGGGGACGATGGGTCACCAGCCACGATGGGGGTGATCTGAGCCTCCAGCAGGCTCCTTGGAAAAGGGCAGCGTTCCCAGCGTTCCCGGCATTCCCGGCGTTCCCAGCGTTCCCAGGGATTAACAGCGGTTTCTGGAAACTCACGGACCCTCTCAAAAGACCCTGAGCTTTGTGAAGGCTGCAGGCCTGAGGTCTGCTTGGGGAGGAGGGGAAGCCAGCTGGACCCCGCCCCCGACAAGGTGATTCTCAGAGAAAGGGCGCGCAGTGTAGACGTGAGGTAGGAGGGGCCTCGGGCTGGTTGGAAAGGCCCAGAACAACATCCTCAGGGCTGTCGTCTGAGCAGGGAGCTTTGAGGCCTCCTCCCGGCCCTCTGGCCTGTCCTCTGGAGGAGCCTGGGTGAGGGACACCGGGGGTGGCTGCTGTGAGGGGAGAGCTTCTGGAGAAAGCACCAATCTCCTTTAGCTGGTGAATGGCACAGCCACCTTTCTTTCGGAACCTCAGTGTCTCCCACAGCACAGTTGGGCTGTGTGGGTTCCGTAGTTGCAGGGTCTATTTTAGAAGCCTGTAATTGCAGCACCTGAAGTGCTTTGTCCCTGAATGGTTATCTGCGGGAGGCCTGTCAGAGGCTCCCAGGGCAACGGGCAAATGAACAGAAGCCAGCAAACTTCCACAAGCAGGTCAGTTATGGGCGCCCTCCCTTCCTTCCACTCTCCCTTCTTTTCCTCCCTCCCTTCCTACTCTTCTTTGCTGCCTTTTTTTTCTCCTCTCCCTTTCTCTCTCCTTCCCTTCTCCCCATTCTCCCCCTTCTCTCCCTCCTTCCCCCTCCCGTCTTTCCTTTTTCCCAGGTGATGCATTTTGTATCACACCCAGCGTGGCAGCCTGGGCTCTCAGAGGATGTGGAGGAGACTGTGATTCAGAGGGGAGGAGAAAACACCGTTTCCCTGCCCTCTTAGCGTCTCCAAGCAGGGCCCTGCAGAGTAGACACGAAGGACAGGTTAACAAGGAAAAGGCACACTCATGTGTTCATATAAGTGTTGCCTGACAAGAAACAGCTGAGCTTGGGGTTCTGCTGCTAGGTTTGATGAAGAGTGGAGACTCGTGAAAGGCGTGATCGGACGAGAGCACATGAGCAAGCGCAGGAAACGGGCTGGGAGGGGCCCTGGCAAGGCCTGTCCGTTCAGGTCCCTCTTGGCCTCCCTCCATCTTTGCAGCTAAGGATGCACCCTTCCCCTGGTGTGGGGGGCGCCTCTCATACGAGGGTCACGACCTGCTTCAGGGGAGTTAGGTCTGGAATGAGGGCTGAGATGTGGGCAATGGGAAAGGCAGGAAGATTGTGTTGATGGCTGAGGGCATGGGGCACCTGGGGAAACGTGTTTCTTCGCACGCTGTCAGAGGAGGGTGTGCGTCTGGCGGGCGGTGGGAACATGGGGTTCCTCCTGCCTGCTTTACGGTTCTCCTTGACACTCCCCCAGCCGTGAACCTCAGCAGCCACGGGGACTCCACGCTGCTGCAGGTGGACCTGGCCGGGGCCCTCGTGGCCAGCGGGCCCAGTCGTTCTGGGAGGGAAGAGCGCCTCCTGGTGGAGCTGACCCAGGCCGACACTTCGGGCTCCAGGTGGCGGCGGCCACAGCAGGTTATGCTGGTAATTTATTTGAAAGGATTGTGAAATCTCATTTCATCTCATAATAAATTGTGTTTCCTCTTGAGTGGATTTGATGGGGAGCCACAGGCAAGGACACCATTCTTAGTTCATTGGCTCTTCTTATGTTTTGCTTTGTCTTTGAAATTCTCTGTTTACCATTTCTCCATTTATCAAATTCTTGCCATTTCAGTACAATCAGGCTTGCAAGTTCTTTATTCAAAACTGTTTTGCTGGGCCATTCAGGAAATATACATTTGAAATGAAAAAACTTTTTTTGGTGTTGTAAAAGTGCAGTTAAGTCTGGGCCTTACGTCATGGTTCAGAAGACAGTTCCACAGCACATTACTGTGTTCGTGGACACCTGCCTAAGTTCTGAGCTGCTGCATCTGTGTAGGCCTGTGCGCAGCCTTGTCTCTGAGCCTTGTCAAGCCTTCATTCACATCCTGCAAAGGCAGCCGGGGAGCGGTGTCTGTCGTGGCAGCCCAGAGCCTAGACTCCAGAGGCAGGGCCCCTTCCATGCAAGCCTGGCCCCCAAGCCCTGGCCTGGGAGACTCCACTCTGCATTATCACTGTGACTTCTGCGTGGAAGTCAGCCCCGGCTTATGGATGTTCCGTTATAACCAGTAGCAGGAAACCCCGCCCATGCGCAGGCTGCATCACCTGCAGTGGAGCGTGTGAGGAATGAATGCACCCTCACCTTTCCTGCCTTGCAGAGCATGGTGCACAGAGCTGAGGTCTCGTTATGAACTAGCATGCAGTGTCCTAGACCATGGCTGACGCAACACCGATGTTCTGAACCGGCTGCCCTGGCCAGGGTCCTAGGATGTCAGCTTGGTTCCCCGTGTGAAGAGCAGAGCTCCTTGGCAAGGGGCTCCTTGGTGATGAGCAATGGCCTTTGCCCTCTGACCTGGGCCTTGCATGGAGAAGGGCAGGACCTCACCCAGCCTACGGTCCTGCTGCCTCCCCAGCACTTGCATATTAATAACCCAGGTTAAATGATCTGTATGGCACCTCCCTGCTCTCTGGGGTGGCCCTTCCCAACGTGCTGACCCAAAATGCCCACGGGCAAATCCAGCCCCAGAAACATGGAAACACAGAGATCTTTACTAAAGGATTTTTCCCCCAGACACGCTCTTTGCAAACACTGAGGTACTTAAAAGAACTTCTCTCATACATATGCTTCTTTGCTTTGACCAGTTTCAGAGATCCTGTTTTCAATGTCCGTTGTGATTGGCGGGTGAGATTCGCATCTTCCCATGGAGGATCCCCCTCCCTCCCCAGGCTGCCTCCCTAGCTGATCACTGTCCTGTACCCCAGGGCAAGAACACGCAAGGCAGGGAATGAAGCTTCACCCTGGGGCCCTTCCTTGCAGGGGCTCCTGTGCACAGGGGTGTGGGAGGTTTGCGGGGGGTGGGTTTGTTGCCTCCAGGTTGCAAGCAGTTGCAGAAGCAGTTCTCGGGACTCAGAGAGCTCAGAAGAGTCCTCCAAGTCTCTAGTAACTTGGAGTGATTCATTTTTTAAATTTAAAAAATTTTTATTAAAAAACTTTTAGAGTTGGGGATCTCACTCTGTTGCCCAGGCTGGAGTGCAGTGGTGTGATCACAGCTCACTGTAACTTTGAACTTCTGGGCTCACGGGATTCTCCTGCCTACGCCCCTAAGTGGCTGGGACCACAGGCACATGCCACCAGGCCTGGCTAATTTTTAAAATTTTTTTTGTGCAGACAGGGGTCTTGCTCTGTTGCCCAGGCTGATCTTGAACTCTTGGCTTCAAGTGATCTCCCACCTTGGCCTCCCAAAGTGGGATTACAGGCGTGAGCCACCGCGTCTGGGCGTGATTTGTTTTTCTTGTATTAAATCACTACTTCTATGCCTTTTGCACTTTTGTATGCTAATTCTGCATTTTTTCTTTTGAATCCTTTTTCTTAAAGAAAGCTCTCCAAATTGTGGAAATTCCCAGCTCCTAACATCAGAGCTAACATAGGAGCAGTAGCTTCTAACATCAGATATGTGAGAGCTCAAATAAAGATGCCCCCATTCTTTCTTTCTCCTCTTATTTGAAACAAATACCTAGAGCGAGCAGTGCCAGATCCCAGATGGTGTCTCAGGTGAAAAGCCTCACCATAACTTTATGCTTTGGCTTGTACAGGTCACTCACAACTGGACGGTGTATTTAAATCCGAGGAAAAGCGAGCGCTCCGTGATGAGCAGGACCTTTGAGGTACTGGGCAGGTGAGTTCTCAGTGAGTGAGATGTTGGGGCAGGCTCTCCGGGACACACGCGTTTAAAGGAGTCTGACCTGCAGGACACTGAGTTTCGGCCCACGCAGCACCAGGTCAGCATGTGGCTTGGACACGGTGCTCATGCTGTGTAGACAGTGAACTCAAAGGCTGTGAGAAGGCATCGTAGCCATGGGTGTCAGGATGTAAGAGGGTTGACTGCAGAAGTCATTTTGAAACAAATGGCAGTTTTTGGTTGATGTTCTAATTTCGTTAATATTGTGAAGCTGTACAATGGAGAGTTCTAGAAAATTTAGGATTCTTTTTTTTTTTTTTTTTTTTTTGAGACGGAGTCTCGCTCTGTCACCCAGGCTGGAGTGCAGTGGCTGGATCTCAGCTCACTGCAAGCTCCGCCTCCCGGGTTCACGCCATTCTCCTGCCTCAGCCTCCCGAGTAGCTGGGACTACAGGTGCCTGCCACCTCGCCCGGCTAAGTTTTTTTTGTATTTTTAGTAGAGACGGGGTTTCACCGTGTTAGCCAGGATGGTCTCGATCTCCTGACCTCGTGATCCACCCGTCTCGGCCTCCCAAAGTGCTGGGATTACAGGCTTGAGCCACCGCGCCCGGCCCTAGGATTCTTATTCCTTAACTAATGCTGCTTCATATTCAATCGGTACTCTTGGTTGGCGTATTAGACAGCTAAGGCTGCCGTATCGTAGTACTACACACTGGGTGGCTTAACTGTCAGACATTTACCTTGTAATCCTAGAGGCTGGAAGTCTGAGGTCAAGGTGTCGACAGCGTCAGTTTCTCCCAAGGCCTCTCCCCTGGCTTACAGGTGGCCATCCCTCTGTGCCTGTCTTCTGATCTCTCCTTGTATGGACACCCATCCTACTGGATTAGCACTCATCCCCATGACCTCATTTAACCTTCCTCACCTTTTTAAAGACCCTACGTCTACCTACAGTCCCATTTGGAGGTACTCGGGGTTAGGACTTCAACCTAGGAATTGTTTTTGGAGGAAGGGGACACAATTCAGCCCATAAAACGTATTGACTGAACTTGAAAAAACGCTCTGGTGTCCGCCACCGACCTGTGGTCGCTTGCAGGCTTCTCGTCTGGAGCGTGTCTCCTCACTCTCAGGGACTGGAGTTCAAACAGCTGGCTTTGCTCTTAGTTAGCAGGTGAAGTGGTTGGGTATGTTGGGGAGGAGGAAGAGCCAGTTCAATGGCTGGCGTCTTCTGTGCAGGCCCCTACTCACTCTTCACTGTCAGGTGGTGTCACAGGGAGGCTGAGGGGCCTGCTTGGACCGGCCCGGCTTGGCCGCAGGGAGGCTGTGTCCTGTGTCTCATGCCGCTGGCCTGTGCTCACTGCTCTTCCAGCTGTGAGATCGGGCATTGGGCTGAATCGTTCTGAGATCCATTTGGATTCTGGTTAATGTCTGGCTGATATAGAGGGAGGTGCCCTAACTGTTGACGTTGTGAACAGTGAGGTCGTCGTTTCGTTCTGCAGAGAGACGGTGTCCATCAGCATCCGGGCCTCCCTCCAGCAGACCCAGGCTGTCCCTCTTTTGATGGCTTATCAGTACCTCCACGCGAGTGTAGAAGCCCAAGTGACCATCGCCACGGCCATCCTCGCGGGCGTCTACGCGTTGATCATATTCGAGGTAACTTTCACACCTGCCCCCCCGATCTGTCTGGGCCCAGCGTCAGGGAGGCTTGAGACCTCCGACACTCTGGATGGGCTCGGTCCTGACTCCTAAATCTAACAGGACTAGTGTCATCATTCCTGAAGATTAGCGTGTCCCTCTCTCTAGGTAGAAAGGGAACCATACAGGAATATTTGCTGAATCTTGGCAACTGACATGAGAAGGATGGGTTTTAGGAGCAGAAGTGTACCTGAGAAAACAGAATGTGCATTCGATTTTCTACCCTCTCTCCGCTGCTCACTCCAAGTGTGACCATGAGGGAACAAGAGTTGCAGTCTCCTCTGAGACTCAGAGTCTGCACCTGTGTGATGAGTACACTCATTTGCGCCCACCTGCACCGTGGGACTGTGTGTGTGAGGGGACATGGATGGCCTGAGGCTGTGTGCCCAGAGGGATTATCTGATTATCTGTTTTGTCTGTCAGCTTGGCTCATGGGCATTTCCACATGTGATCTTAAGTCCAGTCAATGTGATGTTTCTGGAAAGTTCTAAGTGTGGCTGTGCCTTCAACAGCACAAAGCAACGTGCAGACCCTTCTTGGGCTGGGCAGGTCCATTGTTGATTTAACTATGAAATCAAACTTCCTCACAACACGGACAGGAGCCCGGAAGGTCAGTGCATGACGTGACCATTAGAGGTGCCTCCTAGTGAACTGGGGATAGGTCTGAGAAATACGTGAGGATGTTGAGGAGATGGCAGGCTGGAGGAGTGACCAGGAAAATTCCAGAATTTTGCCTGTGGTTGTTGAGTCTACCTGCTGAGGAATGATGACCCCAGTAAGTTGAGCCCTTACCTGTCTTAACAAGGGCCACTCACGGGATTGTTATCTCTTGCATCTCTTCTGTTCTAGAACAGTTTTGTTCCCTCCGTTTTCTATCCGTTTTCTTTTCTTCTTTTTTTTTTTTGAGACGGAGTCTCGCTCTGCCGCCCAGGCTGGAGTGCAGTGGCCGGATCTCAGCTCACTGCAAGCTCCGCGTCCCGGGTTCCCGCCATTCTCCTGCCTCAGCCTCCCGAAGTTGGGACTACAGGCGCCCGCCACCTCGCCTGGCTAGTTTTTTGTATTTTTTAGTAGAGACGGGGTTTCACCGTGTTAGCCAGGATGGTCTCGATCTCCTGACCTCGTGATCCGCCCGTCTCGGCCTCCCAAAGTGCTGGGATTACAGGCTTGAGCCACTGCGCCCAGCCTGATCTTCTTTTAAATCAATATTACTGTTTCACGGTTCCCATGACCACTGTGTGATTTGACACAGGAACTCGCAGGCTCAGGGGCAGCTGTCCTCTGGGCTGGGGTTTACTGCCATGCCTGGCAGTGGAAACCTGCTGAGCCTGGAGGAACCCAGGAGCCGGCTTCTGAAAGATCTCCTCTCCTGGGAGGGCCCACACAGAGCACGCCCCTCCCTCCAGCAGCCAGAGACAGCCCCATGCAGTGTTTCTGCCCTGGGCGGCCTGTTGGAGCCTGAGTTTTTGTGGGGGCCGATTAGATAGTCACACCCTCAGCTTACCAAGATCCCGACTCCCAGAAGGCAAGCAGGTGCACAGCATTTATAAATTACATTTTATACAGTCTGGGCATGCAGGACATGCCCAGAACACACTGGGAACAGAATACAGCAGAACACACCGCCCCAGGCCCACAAGACAGCCCTCTCCTCGGTAACGAGGGAACAGTCCTGAAGCTGAGTACCCCGAAGCCAGCCAAGGGCCCTTCTAACGGTGGCGTCCTCAGACCAGGCAAAGTCTTTACCACACCACCATCTAGTTGACAAATCCTGTTCTGTTGTTCTGTAGAATGTTCTATACCCTGATTCAGCTGCTGGGTTCCTCATGGGATTGATTAGCTGCTCTATCCTATTTCCTACAGACTACAATTGAGATCTGAAGGCTGCAGGTTCCATTTTGGGGCGCCCATGCTTCACAGGTGGGCAGGGGTCTGGGCTGCGTCCGGGAGGAGGACCCTGTGTCTGGATGTCACGCTATCAGGGGTGCGGAGAATGTCCAGGGAGTTGAGGTGGTGGAGAAAGGTGCCCAGCTCCCTGCCACCTTTTCTCTTAATGATTTTAATACCCACCAGGGCCCACTGCCCGCCTAAGATAAATCCTATTTCTGTAATGATCAACTTTCTTAGTAATGAGCTCTTCCCTTAGTAACTTCCAGTGGTGTCCACTGAATTTATTTAGTTTCTCTCTTCCCCCTTTTTACTATTATTTTGCAATTATAGGTTTAATAAATTCAATGTGCTTTAATTAGTTAACAGTCATTAATTAAAAAATAAAATACAATGCAATTATTTTTAATAGGCTTCTCTGTTATTCTAGGGTTTGTTCACCTTTTGTGTAAAATTGTTCAACCTTCGAAAACTACATAATTAGCAAAGATTTATTAATTTTTATTAATTAATGGTCATTATTATTAGTCATTTAGAAAAAAACCTCTCCTTCTCTACAAAAAGCCATCTCTAGATTTTAAAAGTCCTGTAAAGAGGCCAGTTCGACATGGTTTCGGCCCTTGTAGACACAAAAAGCAGAGGCCACTACACACAAACCAGCCACACACAGAAGGGAGTGTGGCAGGGTCTCAGGAAGGGCCTTGGAGGGCGGTCCCTGTATTCCACGAGCAGTGTGGCAGCCCAAGACCTCCAGAGGCTGCCTCCCCATGCAGCCCGTCCGTTTCCTGGCAGTCTTTCAGCAGGTCTCCCTACACGGCTTGCTCTACACATCTGGTGGTCCAAGGCCCTTCTGTCATAGCTGTCCACGTGCCCCTGCCCCAAAGACCACGTGACAGGGTGTGGTTTTTCTACTGGTGTGCAGCGATATCTTACTGTGCTTTCAACTTAATTTCTCTCATGATGATAATGTTGGACATTATCTTTTCATGTATTTATTTGCCACCTGTGTATCTTCTTCAGTGTGATGTTTGTACATGCCTTTTGCTTATTTTCTAATTGAATTGTTTGTTTTTGTAAATGTTGAGCTGTGACTGTTCTTTATATATTATGAAGACTTTGTTGGATATGTGGTTTGCAAATATTTTCTCTTAGTCTAGTTTATAATTTTTCTTTTCTTTTTTTTTTTTTTTTTGAGACAAAGTGCTGGGATTACAGGTGTGAGCCACAGTGCCAGCCTTTTTTTTTTTTTTTTTGAGACAGAGTCTCCCTCTGTTGCCCAGGCTGGAGTACAACGGCCTGATCTCGGCTCATTCCAACACTATCTCCTGGGTTCAAGTGATTCTCCTGCCTCAGCCTGCCAAGTAGCTAAAACTACAGGCGTGTGCCACCACGCCTGGCTAATTTTTTTGTATTTTTTGTAGAGACGGGGTTTCACCATGTTGGCCAGGCTGGTCTCGAACTCCTGGCCTCAAGTGATCCACCCACTTTGGCCTCACAAAGTGCTGGGATTATGGGCATGAGCCACAGTGCTGGGCCAGTTTTTTTCTGTTATAGACTGTGGTTTGGCTGTCAAGTCTAAGAACTTATTGCTTCGTTGCAATAATTCCAGAGTCCAAAGATTGGTTTTCTTATTTTTTTTTTTTCAGTTTTACTTTTAAGACCAGGATCTATTTTGAGTTAGTTTTATTATTATTATTTTTTTCTTTGAGACAAGGTTTCACTCTGTCACCCTGGCAGGAGTGCGGTGGCATGATCACAGCTCACTGCAGCCTCAAACTCCTGGGCTCAAGTGATCCTCCTGCCTCAGTCTCCCAAGTAGCTGGGACTACAGGTGGTGCAATACCATAGCTGGCTAAGTTTTAAAATTTTTTTGTAGAATTAGGGTCTTGCTATGTTGCCCAGGCTGGTCTTGAATTCCTGGCCTCAAGAGAGTCTCCTGCTTTGGCTTCTTAAAGTGCTGAGATTACAGGTGTGAGCAACTGTGCCAGGCCTTGAGTTATTTTTTGTATTTGTGTGAGAGTTTTAAGTGAAAGTTCATTTTTAAACCTATGAATGTCCCATTGGGCCAGCACCATTTATTGACAAGACTAGCCCTCCTCAATTGAACTGCATTTGCTCCTTGGTTAAAAGTTAGTTGGACGTATTTGTGGGGTGTATCTCTGGGTTCTCTATTCTGTCCCATTGGTAATGTGTCTGTTCCTCCACCAGTACCACACTCTCTTGATTATTGCAGGTGTCAGTTTGGACACTGGGAAGAGTGATTCCTCACACTTATTTATTTTTTTCCCCAAAATTGTTCTGGCTATTCTGTGGCCATTTTTTCCCATATACATTTTCCCCGCTTCTTCATCCAGCTTTATTGGAATAAAGTTACATTTCTATTTTCTAGGACTTCAATTGCTTTTTCATGTGGTGCTTTGACATCCACATTTTAGAATGGCCTTCTAGTCCTGAAACATAATATTTATTTTGGTTTTCTTTGATTTTTAAAATAATTTTCATGATACTGATCTTGCACATCTTTTCCTAATTTCTACCTGTTTCCTTTTCTTTGGAGCAATTGTAAATGGTACTGAGTTATTTTGATTTCCACTTATCTATTGTCAGTACATATAAATGCATTTTTCTGTGTGTTAATCTTGTACCTTGTTATTTTATTGAATTTATCTATTACTTCTCAGAGTTTTTTAAAAATAAAATTATTGAGATTTCCTATGTAGACAATCATGTCATTTGCAATGAGGACAGTTTTATTTCTTCTTTTCCAATCTGTATGTCTTTAATTTCTTTTTCTTGCCTTATTGCAGTGGCGAGTATGAGAATGGTAAGATTGGCATTGTTCTCAATCTTAAAGGGAAAACATTCAATCTTTCACTATGTAGTATGATATTATTAGTTTTTTGTAGATGCTCTTCATGAGACTGAGGCAATTCTTTTCTTTTCCTAATGTACTAAGAGGGTTTTTTTCTGTTGTGTTTTTTCCTTTCTTTCTGTCTCTCTTTTTAAAACCATAATCGGGTGTTGAGTTTTGTCAGCATCTTTTCTGTGTCAGTTGATGTGCTCATATGGCTTTT